ATGTACATGAATAAGGGACTCAATTAGTAGTGCGAATATGTTTGAAATTTTTCAAAAGGAATAAGAACGTGCGTTATTTAACAGGACAGTGGCATTCCTCCCCGATGAATTAATTTTCTTGTTCTAATCGTTCATTAGGCGTCAAGATTACTGTTTTCACTTTAGATTAATCTGTTTCTGCTAAAGTAACACCAGGAGTTTTGTTTTCCAAAAGAAATTAAACATCTGTACCTTTTGAGTGCATTCGTATTCTTGTTTATTGTACTTTACAATCTAAGAGCTTACGGTTTTGGTTTTTTTCTTCTAGTTATTGGTTTTTGTTTTGAAGTATTGCTTTTGTCTAATTTTGTGTTTGCAAACCTCATATTAACGATTGGATGGTGCGAGAAATCAGTCGCCAACTTTTGGGCTGTCGTTACTCCGTGGAAAGTAACAAGCAGTGCAATGGGTGCAAAGGATATTACCACGAGGTTTGCACGAATATAACTCCTTAAAATTTCAAACGGCTTAATGAACATGGTCGTGCGTGGTTGCGTCAGCAACGCTGCACGGACACAAACAGCTAGCTATCCGTAGCCACTACAATATTGAATGCCGTTAAAAGGAGTACTAGCATGTGAAATAAGGGTCCATCAAATGGTACTCACTCAAATGGTACCCGCTTCGAGTATGAAGTTAGATTGATAGAAGATCTACTTGATCGGCTAATCGCAAAAAATGTCTCCCAGATCACCTTGATGAAGGTTTGCAGATTGAGTAGCAAAACGGACTTGAAGCGGAGTAAGTCCAGGCTGTTAAATATGGTGCTTAAAACTCATAATGAAATGAATCTAACACTACAGAATGAGCATAAGGTAAAGGGGTCAGCAGTTTTTTGTCCATAATAGCTTGTCGCTTCAAGACAGTATAAAACGTCGAGAGGCTATAAAGGAACTAAATCCAAGGTTAGATACTAGCGAGAATGACCTCAGAATTGTGTATTTTCAGGTGATGAGGCTTCGACAGAGGACGAGACGGAGGCTATATCAGGTGCAGCACAAATCCATCTAAATGGTCTCCAGATATATTACACAAATGCTCAGAGCTTGCTCAGCAAGCGATCGGAGTTAGGTGCACAGATAAACTCTAACAAGCCATCACGAAAACTCGACTGGCTCAGTCCGCAGACTGTTGCAAACCTGATTTTCAAAGTCTCATATTAGTCATAGACGACACCACCCAGAAGAGCAAAGGAGGAGTATTAGCTCTATCCATTATACTGTCTCATTTACCGTTATCGATAATGTATCTAATGAAGGTGAGACGTGTGAACCGAGAGGTTGCGAAGGTCAAGAGCTGCTGATCGGTTTGGTCTACTCCAATCTAAACTGTGAGGTGAATGAGGTCTTGTTAGACAGTCTCATCCAGTGGTTGGTGTTTAATCTAAGAGGACCTTAACGTGCTTATGACAGACTGGAAAACTCTGAGGACTGAGTGGTCAGAAAATCCTGGTTGATGTTGTTATCATATGTGCCCTAGTGCAATATGTGAACAAAGCAATGATGAATGATCCAGACGCCAAATCGTCCTCTCTAATGGATCACATATCGACCCATTATGATAATGATGCCACAAACCCCAATTATACTCCACTTTTAGGTAACGGTAACAATGCAGTTCCAGTCTTCCATTTCCTTATTGTTCTCAACACTGATGCATCAGTCAGAGACGGTGACGATGCCACAGGTATTCGGAGTTTGGCAACGCTTTAACCAGTAACACCTTCTAATATGAATCGTACCCACTAAGTTAAATCAAAAGGCAGAAGCGAGGAGGTTCAAAGATATATTTGATAGGCCATCAATATGTCGATGATCGTCTGATCTAATCTGGCTAGCGATCGCAGGGATTGTTGAGCACGGCGTTACCACTCGTGATCTGGTGCGGATGCATGACCGAGTGCCTTCAACTAGGTGAGTCCATCAAAACTAATGTGGCCAGCATCCAATGTCGAAAACTTCCAGAGCTATTTATTTTGGGGATTGTTTTGCCGCTACAACAGAACAAACTTCTAGAAGGTGAGTAAACACGAAATCATACGCTCAGCATCCTCAGCTGACTGAACAATAAAATCAGAATCCTAAATTGAATCAGCTCAGGAGGTATTTTGAAATCTATACGTGAAAGTTACTACACCACATATTACTTGGGCTTCACCAGGGAGCCCGAGAAACCCCACACATGGTTCTGTGAGTAGTTTCGCAACCTTCTCCGTGTGAGGAGAAGAATGTGGGAGAGATTCGAGTTACTGGATATTGACAGGACAAGTCCCTATTGTCGAGGAGCTCGAAATATTTGTGTCTCGACCCTTCACAAGTCCAGATGTTTGTACGAAGTAAAACTTGTTAAGGAGTCCATAGAATATCCTAAATGCTTAAACTCGTACATACATCCAAGAACTCAAAGGAGAGAATGTATTCCAGCATCATGTGGAGAGATTAGTACTTCACCACTGGTACAGGATGATTATGGTGAAGCTCGGATATTCTCAAATTACCTTAGTAATGTATATATTGTAGCGATGTCCTCCCCTCCAGTTCATACAACTCCCTACATACACTGTGGACACTGTGACCATTGAAGAATTCGATGTCTTCGATCTACTGGACAAAATTATATACCCTCACTTTTCTCGTCTTCTGAAACAGGGCATTTATGAGGACACTCACAAATGTTCGCAAACCAAGAGCAAACGATTTGTCAGCTGACTACCAACTTTCTCGTTGAATCATCAGCAAGTGGAATTTATTACACCAACATGTGCCAGCTCTACATGACTATCTACAACAGGTGGTTTGGGATGTTCACCCTCAACTTGATGTGGATGGTCATTGGGACTTCTTACTGCACACGCTCTTATGTGCTACTGACCATTCAGTTCCTCAAACGGTTCCCAAAAGCTGCAAGCCACCTACAGTAATCAAGAACCGTACCCTTCGCCTGCTAAGCCGCAAACGGCACTGTTGGGCAGAATACAAACGAACTAATAACGATGGAGCGTATAGGCAATACAAACATATCAGGAACATATGCACGAAGGCTATAAGAGAAGACAGGCTTCAGTACCAAACAAAGCTTATGGACAAATTCGCCTCTAACCCTAGAAGCCTATTCCGTTATGCAGCCTCTCTTCGTCAAGCCAAAACAGGAGTTTCTCAACTGCTAGGTCTTAACGGCCCGACCAACAACGATGGCGACGCCGCTAACCTTCTGGCGGCACATTACTCTCAAACATTTCAACCGGCTGACATCAACTTTATTGACGACAGTTTCATCTGCAATTCCACAGGACTTTCTGAAGTGGACCTAAGCGCTGACTTGGTGTTCCGGAAATTGCAGCACTTAAGACTTGACACTTCTCCTGGCCCGAATATGGTTCATCCTGCCATACTGAGGGAGGCAGCCTCAATCCTGGCAACGCCGCTTAGCGTGATGTTTTCACACTCGCTTAGCCGAGGCAAATTACCGGAAAATTGGAAGTTGGCTCACATCACACCAATTTTCAAAGGTGGTCGACGCAATGAACCTTCAAGTTATCGGCCGGTGGCTCTTCTGTCATTACCTTCAAAACTCATGGAGTCCCTGATATGCGACGGTTTAAATGACTATCTACTGTCCTTAAATTTCTTCTCACCCCAACAGCATGGTTTCAGGAAGGGTTACTCTTGTATAACCAACCTGCTGACTGTGGTGGACAGATGGACAAGCATCCTCGATCGCAAGGGAAAGGTTGATGTCATTTACCTTGATTTCTCAAAAGCTTTTGATAAGGTTAACCACTTGTGTCTTATCAACAAGCTCAAACGACTAGGTATCAGACCACCTCTAATCGATTGGCTTACTTCATACCTAAAAAATCGACACTTTAAGGTTAGGGTTAATTTCACTTTATCTCAGGCTATGGAATGTCCTAGTGGAGTCCCCCAGGGCTCAGTACTAGGGCCTCTTCTCTTCTTGATCTACATAAATGATCTTCCTCAACAGGTAACGTCAGACTTACTACTTTTTGCCGACGACGTGAAACTTTGGAGAGAGATACGCAACCAAGACGATACACAGGCACTTCAGGAGGATCTGACGCGACTTCAAAGTTGGGCAGACGATAACGGACTTACCTTTAACACTTCAAAGTGTAAAGTAGTCCATCTGCGACATGTCGCAAACTACAGTTACAACTTAGGAAACTCCTCTCTAGTAGTATCCCAAGTCGAAAAAGATTTAGGAGTCCTGGTGCCCCATGACTTAAAGTCTTACGCTAACTGTGACAAAAATGCCTTCCGAGCAAACCTTGCACTGGTAACGTTGAGGCGCATTTTTGGCCAGTTTGACGAAAGAACTTTCCACACAATCTTCAATAGTTTCATCCGTCCCCATTTAGAGTACGGAAACATAGTACTCCCTCCCTCACTCCAAAAGGACAAGGTCACTTTGGAGCGTATCCAACGGCGAGCCACGAAATCAGTTCGAGGACTCAAATCTAAGCCTTACGAAGAACGCCTCCGTTCACTAGACCTTTACCCACTAGAATATAGGCGTCTTAGAGGTGATTTATTAATGGCTTATAGTATTCTTAACACTTCTGGACATCTTTCTAAACACCTACTTAAGCTTAGTTCGAATAATAACCTAAGGGGTAACACCCAGAATCTGGAAACACAACATAGCAAGACGGAATGTAGACACAACTTCTACTCCTTAAGAGTTGTCAAAAGCTGGAATTCGCTGCCGGCCGAGCTAGTCCAAGCGACTTCTCAGGAGTCCTTCAAGAGCAACTTGACCTATTCTTAAGGACCAAGGACAGCATCACACTATGATTTACCAATTTCTTTTCCTCTTTTATTGTTAACATACCTAGGTTCCTGCCTGGAGGATTTCGTGATCCCCTGCTACTAGACACGGAAGCCTGTTAAGCGAAAGCTTCTTCTATTCCGTCCACAACCATTTGAACCATTTGAATGTGATTGAAGCTCTATCTGCCGACGCTTTTAAAAGAAAGTTGGATCAACTGAGAGACCACTATTCTCAGGACTAACACAGGCCACTTAGCCTTCCGTCTTTTCTAAACCGAAACTTAGTTATCATCAGTATCGTGGTAACAAACAGGTCAACATATCAAAAATGTACGTTACAGAATTTATTGATTCCAAAATAAAACAGCGGAGAGTGCTACTGATATCAAAACAAAACTCTCCAGTTTGTCAGACTATTGAGAGAATTTTGAGAACATACAACCTGAATAAAGAACAGGATAACAATTTTGAAGTACTGTGCATAGATTGCAGGATGGATTGTACTACAGTAGAAACATATTTATGGCATAAGCTAATCTACGGAAACAGGCAGGTGATTGATGACTTATCGCATACTTCTTTAACCATAATCTATCATTTGGTTTTATATGTCTCAGATTTACGTCTTTTATCTTAAATACCGATGAAAGACATGGGACATCATCAGTCGAATTCTCATTCGTTTGTTTATAAATAGTCAGTATCTAGCTTTATTAGTGATATTTATAACTGTATATACATATATGTGGACTTTGTGTTTTTTGAAGTTAGTTGCAAAAATCATCTAACTATTTAATCAAAACATAGTGGATACGTTAAATTTTCTGAAAGGTAAGTATAGTCGTCTGGGAAAGGTGATACATTACCTATGCTTTTCCAATATTCTTCATCTTGCTACATGAAAATCCTCTTAAAGCATAAGTATTACCCTATCCGGAATTCTTGCCTACAGTATTGGATGGAAAAGTTTCACCAGAGCTGTTTCTCACAAGGAATGACTTCAAATATGGATCCCATTCTAGACTAAATACCTAGGATTGTCCGAAAAAAACATCAATTAATGGGACAAAACTTATGAACAATTCAGGAACTTAGGATCTAAGAGAAGACAGAGTGAATGCACCTCTACCATTTGAATGCTTCTCAACCATTTCACTAAAACGCGTTACGGTACTCATCCAGTCTTCAATTAGAATTGCTAACTCAGTGGCCCTAACCTATACGACCAATGTTTCGAAGGCACCAGTGGTTGAATACTAACAACCTACGAATATCCTCAATTTTCGGAAGCTACGTTTCACATCCACAAAGTAGAACGGAACAAACTGCCGCGCAAAATACTGTTTCAGCTGACGTACAAATAACTCTTCCACACCACAAGTGATACGACTTACCGAACACTGAGCTTTCTGAATTCATGTCTAAATCTTATCAGGTAGCACGGGTTTGATGAGTCATAAAGATGAGTGAAGTGATCAAAAACTTTAACTATGTCACTTGTTATTAGTTCAAACGTTGACGCAAACCAACCGTGAAGCAATAATCTGCATTTAAAAGGATTCTGGTTTTGAAGTGAACACTAAAGAAGCAATTTTCATACATGGTCTTCACTTAGTTGGTGGTACATAACTTAACAGCACATCTAAGTCATACATCACGAGTAAAATCTAGGTAGACAAACCCCCCTTTACCTTATCCATGTCCACTAGAGGGATATGGACGCCCAATCCCACCTTCACATCGTTTACACACGCCCAGACTACCGTGAATTCCCCAGTTGTGTCGGTGAACTTTTAGACTTTACCAAGTGCGTGTCTTCCCACAACAGCACCTACTATTCCCAACCAATAAGTTGATTCACAAACTCTATAGGTTAATCATCAAGTGACATGGCGCAACTCGGAATCGTTTGCAGTTTACTTTGTCTAACCTTAGGTCCTAAATCGCTAAATTTTTTTGTTCTATGGATCCATATTTTCTTCAATCAAATCTTTCCTACTACCAATAATACTCCTGCTACTTACACTACTCTAGCATCTCACTGTGCAAATATGTGGCGGTAACTTGAAACGATTCAAGCATGTACTATGGTTTACGTTGCTTATAACTGACTAACTGACAAAGTAAATTGTATCAAAACATTGTCTCATGAGAGTTGAGTTCCATCCAGCTAAAAAGAGACCTGGATAGTAAATGTCAAAGCTTCTTTTGATAAAGCTAAGGTTCGTCTTCTGTCATTACGTGTTGAACCAGGCTTGAAATTCTCTTGCGAAATCAATGATCCCAGTACTGAAGCTCCTTATGAAAAACTGTTCCGCATGTTAGTAACATTGCTACTTCTGAAAACAAAGATAACTGATATATAGATTAGAAATCAGTCGTCAGCTACTTAATATTCCCAGTCTTGTTGTCACCAGCGCATAATAAGCTAAAGGAAAATCTCAGCAAATACTCACTTTTATTGTTTATAATTCATACTAATTTTCTTATACTTATTGCTAACAATCAAACTGTTTTAATCCCCCGATATTTCCATGAACAAATCCAACTCCCATTTTCTTTTCAGGTACCACATTTATTTCTGGATTGTAAGCACATAGGAGGAGAACCAGAAATAAAGCGCTTACATGAAAGCGGTGAAATGAGACGAATATTTAAGGAAGCAGGTCTTTGAAAACTCCTTATAATCAAAGTAACAAACTAAGGAATGTAGAAAGGAACTTATTATTGCTAAACACTTCCAATAGAAGGTTGCTACGAAATATATACCATATTGAAATTAAAGTGACGCTTTATTGATCTCACGAAACTACCCAAGAAGTAAATAATTACTTTCGTTTCAAACTTAATATACGACAATAAATTAGACAGGAAGCAGCAGCAAAACGAATCAAATCATAATACTACAAAAAGTCATCCCGTGGCAAAGTCGAACATGAAATTCCCACGAAATATCGCACAATAATAACTGCACGTTTCATTAGAGAACGTTCGAGTTTAGACCATTGTGTTGTTAGTAACTAGTATTAATAAACGCTGAGTTTGCCTGATTTTACTTGTCCCAATTACAACCAAACAATTCAGCAGAACAATTTCGTTGAGTTCTATATTAGATACTAACGCTTACTAAACAAACTGTCTAAATATTTGAGTCACGTCAACCGGTATAAAATTACATTTCGATAAAGTCCATGTACAGTTACTCATTACAATCAACAGATCACGATCACTATTCCTAGTAAGAAGTTAATATATAAATCCAATAACCCATACATAATCCAATTAATTATTCATTCTCTTTCACTCAAAGTGAACTAGTATACTGCAGACTACATGACTATACTTTAAATACATCAAAGTTACGCAAGAAACACTTTGCGGGACAATGAAATGCTAAAATGAAAACAAAGGTAAAATTGGGCATAAATCTTAGCTCTTAAATATACAGCAACAGTATTGTTTAGTCATTAACCTCTTCTAGGAGGTAAACCACCACGAATAGATCCAGGCTTTCCAGCAGCACAACCTCTACTAGTAGGTAGGCTGGAACGTCTAGTAGCTCTTGGCACGGAAGCGACAGGGCACCATTTTTTTCTTCGAGCCGGCCCACTAGTACATGCATTATCTGATACACTTGACTGTGCAGTAGAAGGGTCGAAGGAATCCCAGACAATGGGTTGAATCTTTGGTCGAGCTGTGCTAGAATCCCCAGAGCTTGAAGGTTCTAAAAAATAACAAGAAGAGGGTATGGTCAGTAAGAATTTGATGACTACTAACAGTAATAGCAATCCATGAAAAATAAATCAATAAGCATAATAAAACAAATATGATCAGTGTTTTCGCAAGATGAATTAAAAAATTATTTAGTTTTTAAGAATACAGAGATAGAAATTCAATAATCACCTTTGGAAGCTGCAACTGAAGCAGAGAATGTAGAAGGCTTAAAAAGTAATGGAGTGGCGGTTGAACTTGGGACTGTATTCACTGGCAAAAATGATTTGAAAAGTCCCATGCAACTACCAGACGGAAGTCCGGACTCAGTAGTAGCAAATGAATATGGAACAGTTAGTGAAGAAGGCTTGAAACCGGAGAAAAGACCAGATGAACCCAATAATGAGCCGGAACATTTGGAGAGACCAGAGTTGCTAAAGAGATTAGGAATAGATGATTCGCCAAATAAACCCTTGCTAGAAGAAATAGGTTCCATCTCCGTATTGAGAGAAGTTGGTACTTTTTCTGAAATCTGAGGAGTGGAGTCACTTTTCTCCATACTCTTTGTCTCATAATGTAATTGTCCATCATCCTCACCTACCCTTTCATTGCAATCACCGACATTTTCAGGTACTCCCACATCTGTAGGTGCTGTGTGTTCATTTGTTTCCTCGTTGCCGTAATTGTCCACACCAGAAGAGTAGTGCTCCTCAGCATCAGCACCACGTGCCTGGGTATCATCATCAGAACCACCTTAACAAGATATCGGATAAAATGGGAAGTAAATCTTAATTAAATATTACCAGCTAAAGCACGATGATCATTCTATTTTTATGTAAAATTTCTTACAGTCGATTTGCTCACTAGTGACTGGCTTCACGAGGTATATCCTGGAGTTCTAGTGAGAAGTAGTGACCAGTGGAGTTCAACCAGGTCTGTTGTGAGATAGTAACTCACTGAAGACAATGGTGAATGTGTCGCTCAAGTTCGTGGATTAGTTGAAGTTAGATATTAACACCGTTGGATGCCGGCTCAGTGGTCTAGTGGTTAAGTGCTCGGGCGCGAAACCAGTAGGTCCTGGGCTCGAATCTCGCAGGGGGCGAGGTCGTGGATGCGCACTGCTGAGGAGTCCCGCAATAGGACGAAACGGCCGTCCAGTGCTTCCAGGTTTTCCATGGTGGTCTAGCTTCAACTGACTCATGATCTTAACATTGAAATTACTACAATCTCCACAAAAACCCATCTGATAAAAATAAAAGTTTGAATTATTTTATAGACACAGTGCTTTAACTATGTATTCTCTAGTAAATCAGTATTAAAAGATAGATTGAGGAACTTTATAATTAGGACAATCGGATGGAAATATGCTAAATTCGTATAGCATCTATCTAACGTATATGATACATGCTTAAAGCAAAATTACATCAAGATCATAGTATGTACATCAGTTAAGTAGAAGTACTGTTTAGATTCCTTAAAAATCTATGCAACACGTTAAAATTTAATAATGTAGAATTAAAGTCAGTAATATCTGTACCTATTTTGTGACAGTTCTTTAATAAATACTGTTATGTCTTTATGTCCGGCTTTTTATCACGTGATTTATCCGCCAATCAAAATACGACTTATACGATCTTAGCACTGTGCCAAACCAACGAAGTTCGACCGGTATGAGCAGCCCAGTGTCCTATATCTGCCTAGCCCGTCCACTTGAGTCCAGAACATCAATACCAGCTTCCACTACGCGAATCTAATCGAATCTTTTGTTTCAGACATGCTGGGTTTATATATCAACCAAACAGACCGCAACGTACCATAAAATGAGAAATAACATTTATACACAATAAAGCCAAAAAGTGGCTATGAACGTGGGAGGCAGTAGTCAATAAACTGAACATAGCTTACGAACAGTAAATCGTACAATAATAAACTATAGGTCAAAATAAAGCTTATAATAAAAGGAACATAAATATACATAATCTAATTATCGAATAGTTATATTGACAACTTATTTCCAATACAACTGATTATTTACCCATTCTATTTTTATCTTTTGCTAAAGAAGATCCAATGACCTTAAGATTATTTGAAATTAGTAGATGTTGTCAGTGTGAAGTACACATTATTAGGTAGTTATATTTTTTCGAATAGATGATATATCAGCTGTGAAAAAAATGAGGAATAAATTCAAAGTATTTCATAAACGAACTTACTACTCAATTCGATTACTTCTTGTTCTCCTTCTTCCTCCTCTTCTTCATCTTCTGTATATGAATCACAATTAGCCTCATCTTCTCTTTCATACTCATCATAATCCCCTTCTTCCATGTAGTCTTCTGCTTCTCCTTCTTCAGGTACAGAACCTTCATTGTAAACAGTATCAACTTCCTGTTTACAAACATCTTCTGTAGCGAATCCTGACGGCCTTGAAGTTGTCGGAACAGCATTGAATCTAATGTTATTATTGTTATTAACATCAAATGAGGAATCCTTTGAATCACTTTCGACATATTCATCATCCATGGATCCAGATTCACGTTGATCAGCATCGTAAAAAGCATCATTTTCCGAATAACATTCTTGCTCTTCATCAGAAGACTCGCATACCTCTTCTAGTGTACTTGATGTAGGTTTTATAGGACTACTTAAATTTTGATCAGATGTTCGGACTTCAGACTCAACAACTTCAATATTCTTAAATACAATCAGTAAAATGAGGAAATATTATCATCAGCTAGCATTTAAAACTGAAAAACTGAAGGTAACCAAAGAGAAACCCACAACGTCAAACACAATAGTAGAGAAATATTCATCCTAGCACTGAATGTTGTCTTAAGACGTACAACTATCTAAGTTGAAGTGACTCAACCTCTTATGGCTCAGTTATACAAAAATACGAGAAGGGTTGGTTGATAAGATGGAAGTGGTTAGATAGAGAACAGTAATCGCTTAATCAAAAAATATCAATACAGTTTGAAATAAATACCTATAACCCAAAGATTGTATTTTCATACGGTATTCAATGTTCTCATCCATCAATGATTCAAAGTCCAGGTAGAGTTGTCGAATGTTACAGAATGTAAGGTAATTAAACGATATTTTGCTTGATACATTCGAAACTGAAGATAGCCACTTGAAACGATGGATGATAAAAGAAAACATTGGATGGATTTTATTGAATGTATAATTTATGTGTGAAAATATAGGTAAACTGATATTAACTTTCCGCTGCAAATTAATTAGCATGTCGTTTTTAACCCTTGGATATCCGGTGAACATTTTCATTTACATTTGGTTGTTACTGAAAGTGTTTTTAGTTGGCAATAATTTACCTATATACAATGTGGTCTCCAAATAATTCTAAGAGAAGTTATATGGCATGAAGACAAGTTTTCTAATCTGAAAAGAGATCAATAATGGAAATGTTACATCATAACGCGTATGGTCAGATCTGCAGCTAAATATAAACGCATTTTAATTATTTAATTGCGTCGGTTGGAAAATAGATACTGAAGAGTAGCATTCTTGCTACTTAAGAAACAATCAGTGATGTTGGCCGACAGCTACTTTACAACAAACAAGGTAAATTCAATATACCGGAATATGGGACTACATGGTTCAATAAAGTGATAAAATAAAATCTATAACAAAAAAATTTCTCAAGCTTACTTCAGTGTGACCATCCATCGTAGGTACATCAATCCCACCTCTTACATTTTCACCAAGTTCTTGTCTAATAACAATATCAGCTGTAGCTTGTTCTATTTCTACACCGGCTTCATTTGATGATCGTTCCACACTTTCTGAGGTTTCAAATGTTCCAGGAGTTATGATACCAGCTACACCGGTAGCGACTGTCAGTGTACCTAATGTAGAGTCTATAACGATGTAGAAGTTAACAATGTGATTAAAATGCATGTTATTTCGTTTGATCATGATTATATAATAATGACCAACAAAACTGTAAATTAGTATACTTGTTAAAAGCTACGACAAAATATAAACTAATGATACTGTTACAGTTTAAACCTTTACTCACTGTCGACAAGATAAAACACTTATAAACTTCTAAGCATCCTAACGAAATTCGACTTCTCTCATTAATTATTAGTGCACAAATACAGCACACAATAACTGAATAAGTACTAGCCACGACTTCCGAATAACCCGAGTGAAGTTGAGGAACGTGGTGATGAATTCAGATGACACTAAAACACTTGATCACTATTCTTTTAAATATGTAGATCCTAACTAGTTTCGTTTGCCGAGATAACAGTCTAAGGCACGGAAGAACATGCTTGTAGTGTATATTACACAAAATAAGAAGAGCTGTACTTTCAGTTAATACTAACCTTCACTCAAAAACTAGAGGAACTTCAGGGTAGATAACTGAATGTCAACCTATACTGCTAAATCACAATTTTGTTTAAGTGTACATCTTATTAAGTTAGATGACCAATTTAGTTAAGCATAATAAGCTTCACTTTAAAAATATATAGTTAGTTAATAAGAAGAATACATACAAAAACTTAATAATACATCTTTTCTTTATCAGTTACTGTGAGAAATGCAAATGAATGAAAATGTATTGAGGATAACAACACACATGTAACTAACAAAGTATCTCGATTAACGGTTTCGTAAAAAAATTGAGTCCAAGGAAACAAGAATCTGACTTACTACTGGGTTCTTGTTGTCCAGCAACTAAACGAGAAGCAGTTGCATGTAACGGAGTTGTAGCAGGTGCACTGATACCAAACGGTGATCTACCAAGGACAATTGGACTAGGGCTTGCCTGGGTAAAAGATATTGATGTGCTGGGACCACTGACCACTGCCTGGCGTATACGTTTAGATTCAGAAGGAATAGAGCCAGGGTTAAATTGTTGCTGATGGAAATGGTTAGTGTTAATGGCAGACAAAAACGAGTTTTCATTATTTCTAGAAACTTCACTTGTTGAAACCATGTTATCATCTACTGGTGGTATAATATGAAGTATTGAGTCCACAGTACTGCTTGAACAACTTTCTTCGAATCGACGTTTTCCAGTTATGCTAACTGTAGTCGAACGAGGTGCTGAAGTTGGAACGCTGGAAGAACAAGCCGGAGTTAAAATGTTACTTTGAGGCTGGTTAAGGATATTACCTCGGCGTAGAAATGTATTTCGCAATAAAGACGCAGCTACAAATGAAAACAAACAGTATGTTTTAAGCAACAAGTTGAGATACATTTATTTTTACTATAAAATACATCAAGGAATATATAGTCGTTCTCCAACTGCAACCGAAAAATACAACGACAAAAAGTCATTTCTACAAACAATAGATGATAATTTAACGTTGGAGATAATACATTATATTAAGTGTAGTTTAACCTAAAGAAAAACCGTGTTTTATCAATCGGTTGACTAATTAATGATGTCAACTCAATAATAAAGCACAAATTCGTATACTCGACTTTGTGCAAATGTTATTTAGGTAAAAAAGTCACCTCAAGGTCTTTAATATGTCAGGTTCATAAATACTTGACTGTACAAAAAAACATATTAACTGATAGTGATAGTTTGCACATAAAAAACATACCATTCTGATCGCAAGACGTAAACAATGATGAGCTGGGACCTACAGTTGTATCAGATACAGGTGAACAAATTGCAATACTTGAGGGTCCACAAATAGGGACATTTTCTGACTGACCACTCGTTATCAGCATCGGGACTAAATGATTTAAATAAAAAGACAGCGTAGGAATAATTTTTTTTAAGAAGAGCAATGAACAAAAAAACAGGAACCGATAAGATTCAAACAACGGCAATACCTGATGATGGTGCTGGGGTTGGCATGACAGCAGCTACATTACTTGTGATAGGTCTTATTTCTGCTGTCTGTTTAGGACCAGCAAGTGAATTAGGTGGAGTAATAGCAGGTGTTGGATGGACCGGTTGTACAGTGGCTCCAGCACGCATAATCCAAGCAGGAATTGATTGAGATACGACAGAACTTGTAGTTTCCGTACTACTACCATCAGTAATGTTCAAAGAAGTGGGAGTTTCCAAATGTAACTGATTCCCTGTGGCTTGATTTGTTGGGGAAGCACCTAAAGCCAAAGCCCGTGGTACAAATGTATGCGTTATCTGAACACCATCTTGGGACTCGGATTCCTGCAACTAAATAAGAATTGTTGGTTTTTAATCATAAGCTTTCAAAAAATACTGATAAGCAAACCTTAGAGAAACAACTACAATACGAAAAGGAAAACTCGAATAAACTGTAAAAAACATTCTTGAAGAATATGTGCTAATTTAATAATTAATTCAAAAACAAATAACAAGAGAATCAACCATTATGATTTATAAGACCTATGCTTCAATAATTAAATTATTTACTACTACATATTTTAAGGTAAGAATAACGAACATTAATGAGATGAAGTGAGTTCATCCCTTTGTATATTGAACCAATAAAGAATTTATTGAATTAAAGACTTACGGTCGATGCTGCAGGAGATGAGGCTCCACTGGTCTGCAAACATACTGACACAGTTTGAGGATGTACGCTATTTGATTGAAGCTCAATTAAACGAGCCCGAAGTTCTGTGCAATCTTTTTGAGATTTTGTCAATTGAGATTCTATAAGTTGAGTTCGTAGTAAACGTTCTTTTTGAGAATCCGAATGTTGTTGTAAACGATCGATCTCATTACATAAACCTGACAGAAGACGACGAAATTCACTCACCACTTTTTGACCATTAGACATATTAGGATTTATTTCAATATCTGATTCTCCAACAGATGAATTCATAATTGTTATAACTGATTCTCTAGCCTAAACACAATTTTAAGAAGAAATACATAATAACTGTAAAAATAAACAAACAAACAATTTTAGTAATAGATTATTAGGAATTACCGAAAACGAAACATGTGAATATCACACCCAAACAATTAAAACCCTTATAGAAAACAGCAAGGAAAAACATTATCAATCTCACCTTCACTTCATCTAAAAACTGAAGAGCTTCTGTTACACTTGCTTCCAAGAGATCATATTCAGTACGTAAAGAAGAATAGTCAGAACGTAAAGTAACCAAATCCGCTTTAGCTTCAGTTAATGCTTCATTCGTAGTTTGAAGTTGAGCTTCTGTAATAATTGGGGGGGATGCGACGAAAAATACTTGGTTAATATATTTTTAAGTATTAGCTGTGTGAAAATAAGAATCAACTAATAATTAGTAAATATCACATGATATTCCCTAGGTGATAACTTTCTTATCTTACAAAATTCAGTCCTTATCATCATAAACATGAACTTTTCTTGGATAGAATTAAGTTTCATTCAGAGGATAAAGTGTATAAAACAATTTTTAAAATTCAAAATCAACCGGGAGCAAGAGTGAATATATCTATTCAATAATGACCGATTCTGAACATTATTATCCAACAGTTAGAGACATTTTCTCTACTTAAGTTAACAAAGCTTTTAATGGGATTGTAGACCCATTCAACCAGATTGAAGTAGTACCCAGAAATTACGGCTCAAGTTTTTTTAAAATTTTGCAAAACAAGATCACCCACACAAAATACAAATTAATTAGAACATCAATTAGTTACGGTTTGGTTTTTATATGAAGAATAAAAATTTTCAGTTAAGAATTACACTGGTATCTCTTTTTGTAATTAGTTAACAATATATCGACAAATGTGTGAACAACTTCATAAACGAAAAATTAATTTGTCTTAGTACAATAAGTTATGTATTTTATAATTTAATGGATAATAAAGTCATCAAAGTAAACAACTTACAAACACTAATAATGAACAAACAAACAGATACAATCATATTAAATTTAGCATAAAAGTTCATCCGAATTCCTAACATCATATTATATCGACAAAAAACTAACAAAGTTACAAAAATATTTCAATAAATAAGAGGCAAGATCTAAGTGTAATTAAGGGATAAAAAGATGAAAGATCGAAAATTCTAATAACAATAAGATAATAATACTGACCATCTGATCTGCTATCATTGAGTTTTCGTCGTAATACCTCGGTTTCCTGACGATATTTTCGTCCGATTTCACGAAGTTTCATAATTGTTGTCTCTTTTGCACTTAAATCTTCTCTTAATAAATTTTCTTGAACACTAAAAGAGAATAAAAATGAGAATAAGTGGAAAATTTATTATAAAAACAAAAGAACAATCCAATATTAAAGGATATTGAAAATAAAACAGTAGTTTTAATAAAGACTTCAATACTATTTCATGTATCATATATTTTGTGTTCTGAAACAAACACTTAGAATGAATGTTATTTTTTATAAGTGATTACATGATGTTGTCACTAAATATGTTTAATAAGGCGCTCACAATTGAAGGACAAAAATAAATTACAAAATACCTCAAAGTTATTTTTTTAATTTTCTTTCTATATTAATTTCTTAACGTGGATGAGGTAAAAAGATAAACGAAACGATCAACGAGAATTACCTGAATGAAGAAATTTTCTGTTCAGCTTCCTGGTATGAATTACGCGCACTTTCCAAAAGATCATTTAGCTTTTTTATCTGGTCATCTGATTCATTTTTTAAATCATATAACTTATTAGCATTATTTTGAACTTCCTCCTCAGCTCGATTTAATCTACGTTGTAATTCGTCACGTTCATTACTGTTAAATCATGAAGAAAGAATTGAATAATTAAGCAACTTAATTTAGAAATAAATTGCACTGTGGTACAATATTCGTTATTTATGAAAAATTTCAAATATAACAATGTTTCAAGCTAGAAGTTTTATGTTAGGAGTCAAGAGAGTACAAAATGTCGATGACCCAATAAAAATTATATACATCAATACTATAACTACAAAATACAAATAACTAACCATGCAAGTCTATACTGTTCAGGATCCATGCGTTGAGCTGTTTCCACTAATCGACTACAACGCTCCTTCCAACGATCACGTTCTTCTTCAAGAGATCGTTTATCAGACATTAGAATATCTTTCTGAGCAATCAAATCACTGTTGGACTGTTTTAATGGACCAACTTCATCGTTCAATTTTGCAAGCTAAGAAAGAAATGGAAAATTAAGATTTTGTTACAATTAGTAGAAAAGAAATAACACTATTAGTTGTTTTAAGGAATCTCAGTGACAAATAACACACCTATATACATATTTTGGTTCAATATTTTATACAGAGTAATAGCTTTAATTTCCTAACGTATATTTATATGCTCAGTTAGGTGACTAGGCGTTTGATTGACAAATGTATCAACCCCGAGAACTAAATCATTACTTCCTCCTTCCTCAGTATATTATCCAAGCGGTTGAGAAGTCATAATGAGTTTCACATACTGGAACCTATGTAACTCAATTTCGTCTACACAGTTTAATGGAAAACATTTAAAAAAAAAGTAGGAAGTCTTAGCAACAAATGGTGCTGCCAATACTAATAAGAACTAACCTGATTTTCTGCATCAGATAACTTTGATCGCAAAACCTCTCTTTCATGACGCAGTAATCGATTAGATTCAGTAACCAAATTTAATTGTTCAACACGTTCCATAACTTCAGAGTGTTTACGAGCAGTTTCCATAGCTAATTCAGCAGCTTTACGTTCATTATCGATTTGAGATTGTAAATTTTCCTTTTGTGATTCCAAACTAGACACTCTCAATAACAATCGGGATACTTCAGCACTAGCAGCTTCATGAGCAACATCTGCCAAGTTTTTCTGACGCCTGAGGTAACTATGAAAAAATATTGAAAGTGTAAGGGTACTTGGTTACACTTCTAATATAGCTAAGATAAAAAAGTTAAAGTTTAAAGCTTTTGACAAAGAAAATTTAACAGAATTAACTAACAATAACATACCCAATAACTTGTAATAATTCCTCAGAGGTTTTTATATCTGAATTAATTGACTCGATATCTTGAGTGGAACTCATGCTGTCTTCAGCAGAAATATTTGATTTATCTAAAGATTTTCTTAATGAAACCATTTGTTGTGTAAGCTAAAATGGAAATTTAGATGATACATAGTGATTATCATTTACGAGGGTACAAGTTACTTTTAAGTGCAAATAATTTTTTTTCTGCATCTATGATTTAAATTAATTACGCATAGTTTAAAAATCTAACAAAACCAATGAGGATTATTGGATATATATATAGCATATTCTGGAACTACAAAGTAAATGCTGTGACAGTTAAGTTTAAAATACTTGTTCAGGAAATCAAATTAGTAAATCCTTTTCACAAAGACAACTTGAACTTTGAACTTCTTTTACACTACTCAATAAATTATGCCTTTTATCATGTAGCCTGTAATTTTCTTCAACTATACAACTTCATAAGGATAGAAATAATTTGAAATGTAAACATAGTTGTACAGTTATAAAAATCGATTTTCCGTTGACAACGATTCAAATGTGTATATAATTATTTATATGAATGGGGATCTGTGGAGACTGTAGTAATTCTAGAAGCTGAATTCATGAGTCGATCTAAGCTAGACCACCATTAGGAACCTGGAAGCACTCAACGGCCGTGTTGTCCTAGTACGTGACTCTTAAAAAGCGCATGGCCATGATTCCGTACGTGGGAATTCAACCCAGGACCTTCGATCTTGCTCCCGGACGCCTAACATCTAGACAAACGAGCCGGCATCCAACAGTGCTATCGTTTAACTCAGTAGATGCGCACTGCTGAGGAGTCCCATACTAGAAAAAAACGGCAGTCCAAAGCTTCCAGGTTTTCAATGGTGGTTTAGCAAATTAACTGTATGGTAGTCATTCTTACAAGTGAACTAGAAACAACAAATAAACTACTACTACTACTCAAACTGGGAAAATTGATTACATTTCTACAGAAAATAAATTCGGATGTCTATTAGGAAGTTGACGATACTTAACACATCACTTATCAGAAATGGTCAACACTATCATCACCATAATCAAAGTAAAACCTGACACATGGCAACCGCTTCAAGTTGCCATACCATATTAGTACAGCGAGATAAAATTATTTCAAGACAAAACCTAGTATAGTAGAAGCAGTAACAGTATCTATCAATAGTAGTAAGAAACACTAAGCAAAGAAAGAGAAAAAGGTGTATGGAGATTTTGGGACTTTTCTTCTAAAGAAAGATAAAGAGTTAATTGACCTCCATTATCGCGAACGATTTTGAACCATGTTACCCAAAGTTCCCAACCACTGGTTATGACATCACAACTGATACCAAATCGTTGGCCAAGGTGACACTTGAGGAGGAAGTCAAAAGAGGAAGTTTAGAGTTTAAAGTCGAGGTAGGAGGAACAATGGGGATCGAAGAGGAAAATAGATTATGAATACAGTGATCTTGAGTGCTGTTAGAGGTTTCTCCCCCTCTAAATGCGAATTGTTGCTTTAGCACTGGCCTACGTCAACACCTGAACTGAGGACAGAGAGTGAAGTAGTCGAACGCGTCAATTTCACTTATCTTGGAATTCTGGTCGACCCTAATGGGTTGGTGTTTGACGAAATCTCAGTACGGATTCAAAAAGGTTGTTTGGCTTTTACCGACTTACGTCACCTATAACGAAGGGGAGGTATCCTTCTATCAATAAAAGGACGAGTATACTCTGCAGCAGTTCGTTCTGTCCCACTTTACGACTGCAAAACGTAGCCATTACGGGTAGAGGATGTACGTCAATTACCAGTATTTAACCACAGATGTCTTAGAAATATTGCTCAAACCTGTTGGAATCACCGGGTAAGTAATAGTGAGATTAGACGCAGGGTATTAGGGAATGATGGTAAATCAGTTGATGAGGTTATGAATCTTCATCGACTGAGATGGTTGGGCCATGAGTTACGTATGTCTGGACATCATTTACCACCACGCGCAATGCCGACCTGTGTTGAGGATGGTTGGAAGGAAGTTGGGGCCGGCCAAACCAAAACGTTGCATTAGTCCATAAAGTTACTAACTTATAGTCTTAGCCATGTTGGTAGGTGCAGACTACTTGGTTGAGGCCTATGCGACTATCGTAACCAATGGTTGGAAACTTTGTGTGACATGGCTCAGAATTTATCACAATGGCGTAGGTATATACACTCTTTGCCTGCCCTTAAACCGTGAGATTAAAATCATTTTATATCTTTCTTTCTACGAACTAATTCTTTCTTCCTGTATGATTTCCTTATACACAATCTTTCTTTTCTATATCACTACCATTAAAGTAACTGCTTCTGTGAATTTGGTGTTCACCTTGTATTTATGAAGTGTGCAACTTGGACCGATGCATATATGTGCCTGGTCCTACGTTGCAGCTGACTGACTGATACTAGATTGTGGATCTAGTACGTACAAAAATCCTCGATATAAGTATCCGAAAAGAAACAACAAAACTAAATGTAGCTACTAATTAACTAAATCTTTCAAATGAGACATGAATTCACTATGAATAATAATAATCGTGAAAGTATGATTTTATGTATATAAGTAACTAAGTAAAACATTAAATTTAACAAACATATCGATTTAATGAGAAGGACAAGTGTCTAGTAGTTAATATTCTGTGAATTAAAAACACCATAAAGCGAAAGAATTAATTCAATACTAACTTGAATTATTTGATCTTGTAACAAATTCTGGTCTTCTTGACTTTGTTTCAATTGCCTGTTCAACTCCTGCTTTTCCGATTCCCATAACTCCATTTGAATTTTTAAATCAGTAATTGCAGTTTCTGCTTTCGATCTAGATTCATTTAATTCTTGTTCTAATTCACCGGAATGCATTTTAATAGAATCCAATTGTGAACGTACTGTTGTTAATAACTGAAATTTATTATTATATAATCAGTTAGGTGTTAAAACAAAAAGTTCAAAAAAGTATGAAGTGTAATAAAAACATATCCATTCAATGTGTACAACAGGGACACAAATATATTATAATTAGGCTAGATAACACTCATAACTCGAGATAATACCAACAGAATGATAAATTTTATGATGTTTCAAATATGTATTCTGCATTAAACAATCTATTGTTACCGTATGATTTAATATGGTCAAAATAGGATTACTCTACCACTTGAACTGATACTTTCTTATATATGAGAAAATCCCACTTCAGTTGCCTGTGGCTTTAATGAGATCTGAGTCTACCAAAGAGAGGGCACACTGACTAAGTGTATTTTCTCAGCATCAGTTCCATATTGTCCAACAAAAGTGACTAGCGCCAAGGTTAGATGTAGGACACTCAGCAAAGACGATATATCAATTGATGATGTGCTGAATCTTCATTGATTGAGGTAGCTGGGAACATGCATTACATTCCACTATGGATTGCCTAAACGTGCGATCCTGTTTGGCACGGAAGTGCCTCGAAAGGAAGCTACGGGCAGCTAAAACACGACGTGGCACCGGCCGACAAAGTTACTAATTTTTAATCTGAACCTATTAGATGCACATTACTTGGTTAAGGTCCTCAAAATAATCGTGACCAGTGGTTGGAGACATGGCTCGATATCTGCTACGATGGTATAGATGCATTATTTCATACCCTTTATTTCCCAAACTATTATCCTGTTCTCGAAACACATACTCCAACTCTAGTTGTTTTTTATTATCAATGGTACTACTACTGCTGCTAACTCTACTGTCTTGGAGTTTACCTTCATTTCATTACGGTGTGCTGACATGGTGTACCAATTTGGATCCTACGTTGACTATGATTGGTACAAGAAGGATCGGGAAACTAGAATTTAATGTTGGTTTAACTAGATTGCAAAACTGAATTACGTAATGGGAAATATTGGAAACTTCCCGTTAGTGTCAGAGAGAAATATAACAATGAAAATTATTTCAGAAAATAATTTAAAAACAGCAAAATTCCTTATCTTCTGTCTTTGTCATAGGATGCTCTTTCCTCAAATTTATTTTCTTAACTTAATTCATGAAATGGGATGAAAATTCTCAACGTAGATCAAAATGATAAATGTGTACATCACAAAATTATTAACAAAACATGCGGCGAGACTCTAATTTAGGGACGAGCCAATCAGAAGCGTTTGAGCAATTTCAATTATTAGCCAATCAGAAGACAGTTAGTATAAAGTAAAAATATATTATAAGAAAGTAATGAACTACAGTGGATATCCTTCTTTTACATGATTTAAAAACTTGTTAAGGTTTGATAAAGGTTCAGAGGTTCTGAATTCATAATGCATACGGTATAGAAACTCGTCCATAGGGTTAGGGTTAGGTGTTAGGGGTTAGGGTTAGAGTTGTAGCCTCTCAATAATCACCTCTTCTCTAAAATCCGCTGTAAGCCGATAGTATGTTAGCATCACGTGTTCAACTTGGCTTCGTGACCCTGAAATTGCTCAAATGCTTCTGATTGTCTCGTTCCTATATTAGAGTCTCGTCACCCTAACCCTAACCCTATGGACGAGTTTCTATACCGTATGCATTATGAATTCAGAACCTCTGAACCTTTATCAAACCTTAACAAGTTTTTAAATCATGTAAAAGAAGGATATCCACTGTAATTCATTACTTTCTTATAATATATTTTTACTTTATACTAACTGTCTTCTGATTGGCTAATAATTGAAATTGCTCAAACGCTTCTGATTGGCTCGTCCCTAAATTAGAGTCTCGCCAAAAATGCTAGATTGAGCATTTTAAATAACGCCTTTCATTCAATAAATGTTACATCACAACAAATGAACTGATTTTCTATTAAAAAAGATATTATCTATAATCATAGATTTCCTTCGAGCTTTTAAAATGATTTCCAAATACCAATTTGTTAACACCTAATGAAAGTTACGAAAAATGGAATTTATCATATGACTGGTAATTCTTACCTCCACATCGTGTGCATGTAATGTCAGTTCACGTTCATATTTATCACGAGCCTCTTGCGCAGCCTGTTGATGACATTCTATTTCGGCTTTAGCACCAGCTTCCACTTGAAGAGCTGATTCATAACGAGTTCTGGAGCTTTCTAATTCATTCTGTAAGCTAGCCAATTCTCGACGTAAATCTGCATTCTAGTTTAAAATGAAAGAAAATGTAGGATAGTGTGTTGTGTTTAGATATGATACAATAAAGAATAGCCCGGTTATAAAGAAGGGTACAACAAACAATGAACTCAAACAAAATATTGACAAATTTCTAAGTTGAATGTTAAATTATCGAAAACATGTATGAATGTGTATCCAAATTTAAATTTCCTAGGGATATGAAACTTTTTTGATCCTTTATGACAAAACGAACTAACACACACAATACAATTCTAGTTTGATGCAGTCAAGCAATTTTCTCTACCAATAAATTAATGTAGATTTAGTATAATCTAAAGACTGAAAATGTCGACATTATAGTAGAAAAAGTTATGAGGAAACTTACCAACTTATGGGCTTCTTCTGTAGTTCGTATATTTTCATTTACAAGATTTTGACGTTCTTTTCTTTCTAGATCTAGTTGTGCCTCTAAAAACTCACAACCTGAAAATCAAGCATTGAATTAATTTATAGACAGAATTATAAAACAGATATAGTAGTTAAAACCTGTTAAAACCTTACAAAACATGCATAATGAAGACTGGTAAGTAAGAAAAATTGTAAGTTTGCAAACAGTAAATGTGACCAGAATATATCTGGATAATGAATAGAAAGGAAATGACTCATATGATATTCACTAGTTTATATATCCTCAACAAAGGATAACTAACCGTAATCCACTAACATTTACTAGTGCATTACTTGATAAATCGTGTACAGAAATCTCAATTTATGTTTTAATCAAAATAAACCTGTTAGTAATAATCACACTTAGTAGCATAAATTTTGAACTGTGTTGATATTACACATAGACAAAGGTGTTGCTTACGAATATCATTATTTATATACATACCTGTAACCCAGCCAAATGTTGCCATTTAGTCTAACAAAAGCATTGTTCTATGAAATTTTAGGTAAGATATGTGATATTGAGCACGTCAGTCAATAAGCACAAATATGGGAGAAAATACTTCAAGAGAAATGAATAAATATTGATTAAAAACTGCCTACTGAACTTACGCTGTTTAGTCTCACACATATCACGTGAAAAGTGCTCTTCCAGTCGTTTATTCTCTTCTACAATTTCATTGAGACGCTGTTCAGCCTGTTCAGCCAACGTTTTCATGCGATCAGATTGCTGCCGAGATGATTCTAAACTGGATTTAAGACTTTCAATTTCATGTTCCAGTTCACGAACACGAATTTGAGCCTTTTTCGAACACTCAGGAGATGATTCAGATATACTTGGTTCCATATTGTCATCTGTAAAGGTAAAATAGGATTCGATTAGCTAGAATCCACGAACTCTAAAAGTTGTTCAACATTGAAAAACTCATGATTAATAGACAAAAGCGTAGACAGAAATAACATTGCTCGCTAACTCGCCTAATACAAGTCCAGACTTCTAGTGAGTCGGAACATCGTCTAAATAGGTTTGCAATTTAATTCGACATAATAGTTGTAAGATTGAAAACGTGCAACTTTATTCATCGTTTTATTCTTCAAACTAAGACTGTTACGAAGAACTTCAGTAAAATCCCAAAATTAATAGTTATTTTTCTAACGAAGTATATACGTTAATTCGCCAACAAACACACAGACCCTTCACAAGTGTTGAAAGGACAAGAGTTATCAAACTAGCTAACAGAGTGATCGACAGTCATTCATTTAGACTAACCACTATTACACACGTATCTTCACAAATCTGCTGGGTCAATTATCATTGCTAACATATTCAGTAAAAAAACCCAGTATTAAATAAGCAAATCCAACTGCGTTAGAAATGTTATGAGCTTTAGAGAAACCTTAAAAACGTTGAATTATGTAACCACATAATCCATACAATGATTATGATTTAAAACCTTTAAGCCTCATTGGCGCTTCTATTAGGAAAAAGCATTGGTATATATATATATATATATATATATATATATATATATATATATATATATATATAGCTAAAATGATATGGCTTTATCAAGTCTGAATCAAACTTTTACAAATCTGTCTATTCCAGCTACATACCATGAGATCTAACAGCTGCCAATCTTTCCTCTAAATCTCGTATCCGGGTATTTAATTGTTGAATTTCTCTGCCGCTAGACTCTACGGACTCACGAGAAAGGGCTAGCTCGTGTTGCAAAGTTTGTTGAGCTATTTGGGAGGCCTTGGAAGCATCTGTAAGAGCTGAATTGACAGTAGATAGTTGCTTCTCCAACTGTTCAATTTTTCGTTCATTCAATGAACGATCCATTGACTCTCTTTGTTCGAGACTTCCCTGGTAAAGAGAAAAAAGAAATGTTAAACGAAGTAAAATGATTACAACTTAAAAATAAAACGGATTATGGGAAATTAATAGAGAAAAAACAGTGAGAAAATATAAAGGCTTTATAAATTACTTGTATAGACTGAAGTTGATGCATTAGCTGAGAATGGATTTGATCATGGCGGCGTAATGAATCTATTTCTTGTTTAAGACGAGTCTCATTAGCTCGCACCGCTTCCAACTGTCGCGAAAAATGTCTTGCATCCACTTCTGCTGTTGTGAGGCGATCAGATGCATGGGTTAATTCATCTCTAAGTCTTGATAATTCTGCTTCACTGGAGGCTGCAGAAGTTGAGTAGCGGGCATTCATTTCACGAAGGATAGTGATTTCTTGTTTATATCCAGCAACATTAGCTTCTGATGCACGCAGCTTTTCGTGAGTAAAATCAAGCTGAAAAAAAATGCAAATATGACCAAGTATAATTCACCAAACTGTAGAACATTGATTTTATTGTCATAACCTGAAGTCCAATAGGTAAACAATGAAAACAATCGCATCTAAAAACTAACCGTTATCGTTATTTGTTGATTATAAATCCTTCACCACATCTGTTTCAACTAATAACTATCTAGTGTATTCGGTCTTAAGAAGCCAAGTCTAAACAATAAAGATTTGTACAAACATGTGACCTATAAATTTATCAAATAATCAACATACTGATATCTTACTAACTCCACAGACGGTCTTTTAACAAGACTATATATATATATATATATATATATATATATATATATATATATATATATATATAATACTGACACACTTTGCAGCAATTGGCATTACACTAAAACTTTTCAACCATTAAAATAAAAAGGAATTTTAGACCAAGGAATGAGATCATGACTAAGGAAAAATCTTTTGTAAATTGGTCCAACTGATATGAAGCTATTTTTCCAGGTTTCATAAATCAGTTTTATTTGCTTTCTAATGTAGAATACTTACACGACCTGCCATTGAATGTGATAAGATGACCAGTTAGTATTTCCAAATGCTCTTAGTTATGTTTTATTACATGACTTTCTTATATTCCAGCCAATACCAATTACTACGCACAAGTGCTTTACCTGATCAAGAATTACACAACCATCTGTGAAACAATAACATAAAATTAGTACTATATAAGTTTTTTGTGATACCTCAATGAGTAGGAAATTGTATTTCTGACGTTTCGTAACTTAATATAAGCCATTACTTCAGAGTAGATAAATAATTGAATTTAATTCGGTTTTTTATACACTTTGAAGAAGTGGCTTACATTAAGTCACGTAACGTCAGAAATACAATTTTCTAATCACTGAGATATCACAAAAAATATATTTACTATCAACTCTCTACCCAATGCTCAATTTATTTGGAACCATCAAGTCAAACCTTGATATTGATACCTATAACATAAAATTAGGTTTCTGAGGCATATGATTACATGTGAAGTGCACAAATATTCACTAACTTGTGAGCTAAGTTTCTGATTTAACAGTCGAGCTTCGTTGTATTCTCTTCGTAGACTATCGACTGTAGTAGTATATACATGATCTGACTCCAACTTGTCCTCCCGATAACGTGCAAATTCCGTCTGTAACGAGCTTAGGGCACCTTCCAGACGCTCAATAACAGCAGAGGATCCATTGCTGGGAGGAGAACCCTTACCTACAAAAAATATTGAAAAAGAACCAGTGGCAATCTGTTGAAACAATCCTATGGTATATGGGAAATGGCACTTCTAAGCGCAGATCATTTGGTGAAGTTTTATTAAATATAAATATGACTATTGTAGAGAGCAGAATAAAAACCTACTTGGAGTCTTATTATTGATCATACAGCGACTTAGCGGATTAACATCATCTAAAATAGACTCTTGACTTTGAGCAGAACTAAGTTCTTCTTTATCAGATAAGTCGATGTCATATTTTTTCAATAAAGCACGATATTGGTCACGTTGCTGAGAAAACATATTTGCCTCTGTTCGTGCTTCACGAGCGGCTAAACGTACAACGTCCAATTCACCAGATAAAGTTTCAACACGAGAAGACAGCTCAGACATACGCTTAATTGTGTCCGAATCTTCTCGCTCGTGTTTTTCTAGCTGGGCAGCAAGATCACGAGCAACGCAGAGCAGCCGTTGATTTTGAGACTGTAGCTCATCCAAGTTTTTCCATGTGACAAGATGATCATCAATAATCATTGCAGAGGAGGCTAGATTTTCCAACACGCTTGAAACATTGGTTATATCCACTGAACTATCTGGAACCGGATGATCTTCAGGTTCGTTTAAATCCCTTATGTCTGACTTGGCACAAAAATCTCCCTCATTGCGAATAACAGTCCCTCTAGATACTTCAACTTCATACAGCAGAGACTTCACCTGTAAAGAATTCATGCAAAACGTCAGGTTTAAAAAAAAGGCTTAAACAAGCTCAAAATAAATACATGGTAAGAATGGGATGAATATATAAAATTGATTAGCAGCCAAATAATTCATATTATTGTATCACTGGGTAAATATGTTGTTCAGTGTTTGTAGATCTACCGACAAAAAATATGTCGTGCTTTCAGTTGAATAACTTAACATAAAACGTAGCACAGTAGTACATCAACTCGGGTGACTATATACTGTAATACTAATGAAAGAGAACTGACATTACCGAACGAATAAGTCGATAATACAATAATTATGCGTATAATCAACTACATCGAACAAAAATCTTATCACTATTATTGGTTTTGCGTCATGTTACCCAATGATAAATCCCGTTTCCTGTATTGATTACACCTACCTGAAGCTTCTACACTGCACATTAACTTTGTATAACTATTGCACACCTGACTCTTAAGTCTAGATTACAATCATGTTATAGCCAATATATATGAAGCACATCTGACCTACATTCTCTGTACAATCCCATTTTTGAAGCTTATCATTTTAACAGAAGTTTTAAAATAGTTAGCTTAGGATGCGGTCTTAGTGGGTCTAGGGTCTAGGAGCTTTTCGAAATTTAGATCATTTCTCCAATTCAATACAAACATCAGAGTGGTAGTTTAGGCTGCTTGGATATTTACTGGTAGCTTAAAAATATGATCACCTCCGCCTGTAGTTCTTCTAGAGTTACTGCCGGTCCCAAGCCCGGGTAAAGGAGGAGGGTTGGGCATGGGGTTAGCGTCCCCATCCCGTAGAAAGCTAACTCGCTAAAAAACGCTTACCAGAAAAAAACAATTCAAACCATTTAAACTCTGCCCTGAGAGTTAGAGGGTCTTCATTTAGAAGAATTATGACGCTTCATGGTGAAAGCCGAGTTTCTTCGGAAGCCACGAAGCCGATGCCCCTTCTAACAACCAGAGCAAAAATTTTATAGGTACATGGAACGTCGGAACAATGTGGGAGACCGCGAAGACCAGTCAAATAGCAACGGAAACGAGGAGATACAACTTAGCAGTACTGGGAATTAGCGAAACCCATTGGACCCAAGCTGGACAACAAAGGCTAAATACGGGAGAGATGCTACTATACTCCGGTCACGAAGAGAAAAATGCTCAACACACTCAGGGAGTTGCTCTAATGCTGTTCAAAGTAGAACGAAATGCACTTGTAGAATAGGAATCTCACCGATCCAGAATCATCAAAGTATCATTCAAAACAAAGAAGGAGGGGATCACAATGAATATTATCCAATGTTATGCACCCACCAATGATAGCAACGACGACATCAATTCTACGAGCGGCTGCAGTCAATCATAGAGAAGTGCCCAAAAAAGGACCTCACCACTATGATGGGAGATCTAAACGCCAAAGTTGGAATAGACAACACCGAATATTAAGATATCATGGGACGACATTGACTGGTTGAGAGAAACGAAAATGGAGAAAGATTTGCAAATCTGTGTGCATTCAAAAAATCGGTCATAGGTGGCACAATATTTCCACACAAACGTATACGCAAAGCTACATAGATTTCACTGGACCACACTATAGAGAACCGGATAGATCATATCTGCATCAATAAAACATTCCGAAGGACAATGGAAGATGTGAAAACCAGGAGAGGAGCTGATATAGCTTCAGATTACCATCTAGTTGTGGCCAATTTAAAACTGAAGCTAAACAAGAACTGGACAACTGGACAAACAGCACTACAAAGGTTCAATACAGCTTTCCTTCGAGATACTAACAAACTCAACGAATTCAAGATAACTCTCAACAACAAGTTCCAAGCCTTACACGATCTACTAAAGGAAGAAGAAACTACTATAGAGGACAAATGGAAAGGTATCAAAGAAGTATTAACTTCAACGTGTCAAGAGGTTCTGGGTCTAAAGAAACACCATCATAAAGAATGGATCTCTATAGAAACACTGGACAGGATCAAAGAAAGGAAGAACAAGAAGACAGCAATTAACAACAGCCGAACACGAGCAGAGAAAGTCCAAGCACAAGCTGAATACATAGAAGCAAACAAGTAAGTGAAGAAAAGCATTAGAGCCGACAAGAAGAAATACGAGAAAGAACTAGCAACGACGACGGAAAAAGCTGCAAGGGAAGGAAATATGAAACAACTCTATGATACAACGAAGAAACTAGCAGAGAGATACAGTAAACCAGAGAGACCAGTCAAGGACAAAGAAGGCAGGCCAATCACTGAAATTCAACAACAGAGGAACAGATGGGTAGAGTACATTGAGGAACTCCTGAATAAGCCGGCTCCAATGAATCCACCAGACATCGAAGCAGCGCACACAGATCTTCCTATGTATATTAATCCACCAACGACGGAGGAAATCAGAATGGCCATCAGAAAAAATCAAGAGCGGGAATGCAGCAGGACCCGACAACATACCAGCTGAAGCACTGAAATCAGACGTCGAAGTAACCACAAGCATGCTTCACCTTCTATTCAAAAAGATTTGGGAGGAGGAACAAGTGCCGATGGACTGGAAAGAAGGACACCTCATCAAGATTCCAAAGAAAGGAGACCTGAGCAAATGTGAAAACTACAGAGAGATTACACTACTGTCAGTACCAAGAAAAGTCTTTAACAGAGTTTTGCTGAACCGGATGAAAGATGCAGTAGACGCCCAAATTTGAGATCAACAGGCTGGATTCCGTAAGGATCGGTCGTGCACAGACCAAATTGCGACACTACGGATCATCGTCGAACAATCAGTTGAGTGGAACTCGTCATTGTACATCAACTTCATTGATTATGAAAAGGCATTTGACAGCGTGGATAGGAGAACGTTATGGAAACTTCTTCGACACTACGGAGTTCCTGAGAATATCGTCAACATCATACGGAACTCATACAACGGAATACAGTGCAAAGTTTTGCATGGAGGACAGCTGACAGATGCATTCCAAGTAAGAACCGGAGTCAGACAAGGCTGTCTACTCTCACCCTTCCTCTTTCTTCTGGTGGTCGACTGGATTATGAAAACCGCGACATCTGAGGGAAAACACGGAATACAATGGACAGCTCAGAATCAATTAGACGATTTGGACTTCGCAGATGACCTAGCCCTCCTATCGCATACACATGAACAAATGCAGATAAAGACAGCCAGTGTAGCAGTAGTCTCTGCATCAGTAGGCCTCAGCATACACAAAAGGAAAACCAAGGTCCTCAAATTCAAAGCGGAGAACAGCAATCCAATCACTCTTGATGGTGAAACTCTGGGAGATGTAGAATCCTTCACGTACCTGGGAGGCATCATCGATAAACAAGGGGGATTGGATGCAGACGTAAGGGCGAGGATCGGCAAAGCAACAACAGCATTCCTACAATTGAAGAACATATGGAACTCAAAACAACTTTCAACCAATATCAAAGTGAGAATCTTCAATACGAACGTCAAGGCGTTTCTACTGTATGGAGCTGAAACTTGGAGAACCACAACAACCATCATCAAGAAAGTACAAGTATTTATAAATGGTTGTCTACGCAAGATACTCAACATCCATTGGCCGAATACAATCAGTACCATCTTTCTGTGTGAGAGAACAAACCAGCTTCCAGCTGATGAGGAAATTAGGAAAAGACGATGGAAATGGATAGGACATACATTACGCAAATCGTCAAACTGCATCACGAGACAAGCCCTAACTTGGAATCCTGAAGGAAGGTGGAAAAGAGGAAGACAAAAGAACACTTTACGCCGGGAAATAGAAGCGGACATGGAAAGGATGAGTAACAACTGGAAGGAGCTGGAAAGGATTGCCCATGACAGGGTTGGATGGCGAATGCTGGTGGGCGGCCTATGCTCCTCCACGAGTAACAAGCGTAAGTAAATAAAGAAATGATCGGAAGATATCTTGACATTTCCTCAGATTTTCTGAAAAGTGCTCTTACTTACTAATTAAATGAAAACTAACGTAATTCATCCATTTTTCTTCAGAAAGTTTTGCAAAACACAAACGTGACCAGGAGTCCGTAAACTTCAATTAATTTGTAGGAGCAATGATATGCAAGTAATGAATAAGACGTATAAGAACAGGGTCATCTGCTTACTTGTTTGGATAGATCGGAGCACGTTTGTTTAAGTCTACTGGTCTCTCGACGGTAAAATCCAGCACGTCGCTCACTCTCTCGCTTTTGCAACTGCGCTTCTTCTAACTTCTTCGCTGTACATTGATAACAAGACGTAAGCTCTTTCAACTCCGTTTGTAATTTCCGATACTCTTCTTGTTGGTTTCGTAGGAGAGGAGCTACAGTAATGATATGGAGACAGAATGAGAAAAGTACATCACTAAAGAATTCTAAAGTGCAAAAACATTGAACAATGTAAATAACAGAATAGGCTACAACATTTTGATATTTGTCTGGGCAAATGCGATTCTCTTTACGCTACCAGTCATCGATTGATGGACTGATTATTCTCAATCTAGGACTTTTGATATGATTCTTAATCTAGTGGTAACCATTCTTTTGAAGACCTGAATTATGAGCACAGATGAATCTCATTTACCATGTGCCTTAAAACATCATGTTACCCCAGTTGTACAGTTTAACGTTCGATCTCGGACTTTCTAAACTAGAGAGAAATTACTGGGGATAACCAGTCAAACCTCATGTTTATCCATCACATTCCAATCTTTACGTTACATAGGTTTCAGAATCACTGTTAAAAACCAGTAAAAGAGTTTGTAAAGTTTTGTTGTAACCTCATGAAAACTTTGTCTTATTGGGAAGTATAATACTGCAGTCGGTATCCATGATCTATAACGGCATACCTCTTCAATTTTCATTTCATTGTTGGGCTATATTTAGATTCCCGACATCTAAGCGACAAATGCTAACCGTATTGGCTTCACCTTAATTCAACCAGGAAAATATGATTTATAAGGTTATGTGATTTGTATACATTAAGATTACCAAGTAAACGCAAAATTTATAAGACGTAAATATAAGCGTATTTAGAAAATTGACCTTTTAGCACGATAACAATTGATCATTATTGGAGGTACCTTTAGGTTAATCTTAATGTGACACTTTATTGGCTTGCCTGTCGTGATGACTCAACCGAGTTATATTGACTGGAACACATGATCCTTTAGGTCCTACTATGCCAGAGAGGTTGTTTGAAGAACGCTAAGACTAAACTCAGCAACTTAAGGGTCCAAGAGCGAAGTCGCACAGATGACTGTAGAGGGGAGTGACAACGGTAAGGTGTTTCTCTCAAACAACCAGCATCTGCAGCGATGCTGAGTTCTTACAACAGAAAGAAGTTAGAAAGGGCCAACCCTAAAAATATTACACCTCACCTTACCCCACGTATTTCCGTCTACGGCGGTAGGGCTTTTTGAAGTGTGGAGTCAAAATCTCATGAAAAGGCTGTGCGCAGCCCCAAGCAGTTGTCCCTTAGGTCCTGCAGTCACGCTCCTAGGTCGCTAAGATCACAACCAATCCAGCTTCCTTTTAGGTCCCCCAAGAATGTATATTCTTCCACGGTGTGGGCAATCAGGAAGTGAAATTCCCCTTCATATCTTTATCAGCATTTGAGATCATCTGGTTGACGATCGAATTCATCACTCACCTCTAAATAATTCTTTCACCTCCACAACTAATTCTTCTCATCTATCTTTATTACAACCCGCAACCAATGCTAGTGATTTGGGTTCGCGAAATGTTATCCCTGGTCTCCAGTAACTCCATTCTAAACATGTTGGAGCTATTCATGTTCGAACCTTGTGTCAGATAAGACAGCAGGCCTTTTTAGCTAGGAATCTAGAATCTCGAGCCATATATGTATGCTGAGTTTCCAAAACGCGTGTACAAGATCGAGGTACGGTCATTCAGTTGACTTCATCTCGTTAATATAAAGAATCGACACGATTTACCCTTCGAGTATCTGAAGACCACACTGCTACTCCTCGCGTCCTCGCTGATGTAGGTACAACATGAAACCCTGAAGCAGAACAGACCCTGTTAGACTGGATTCCAATAGACAGTCGCTTGTGTGCTGTTCGACGAAACGAGACAGTAAGATAGGGGCATACTCCGTTACTTATTATTTGTCCTTGTCTACACTTTCACTGATTGCAGCTCAGACGAAGTTAAAGATGGATTTTATACGAAGCCACCTAACCTCCTTTAATAAGCTAAACACTCAGATCTAGTAATATTGTAGGGTGATTCTAATGCTCAAGTACGTAAACCAAACCGAACCGGGAAGCACTTGGGCAGATCTTAAAGCGTTGAGGCTCAGCAAACAGATAATGACGATCGTCTGTTGCAACTAAGCTCAGATAATTGTCTATTTCTAGAAAACACCAACTTTAAATATAATAAGAAACACTGTCTAACGTAGCGACCCCTACAATCGACCTAACAATGGTCTCAAATAGGCCACATTATCATCAGCTACCGTTTGAGAGGAGTGACACAACTGTTGCTCATTCTGCAGCGTATGTCCAGACACGCATCATGCTCTAGTCCAAGCACATATTCACCTGCATATTACTGGACGTAGAAAAGCCACAGCAAAAAAACCCCACAAATTTAAACTCAATGGCGAAAAAGTTAGGAACATATTTCACGAACAGCTAGACAATCGAATTAGTAAACTGTGGAAGTGATATCCACCTCGAGGTAACTTGGTATGATATCCAGAAAGCTGTGCAAACAGCAGTGATGTCTACAGATAACTTAAACATAAAAGTTAGGAAAATTCAGTGGATTTCAGCGGGTCCTGCTGAGCTGATAAATGCTCTAGATTTCATCCCATCTGGCTCTGAACACGATGAGGAGGGGGCAGCTTAAACGTAGGCTGACAAAAAGCCCACGTAATGATCGTAAACAGTGGTGGGTAGCCAAAGCAGAAGAGAAAGATAAAGGTAGCAACGATAGGTAACAGTAGACAACTGTTCCGACTTATCAAGGAAACGGGAACTGAAAATCCGGTTGTTAGTGAAATTACCTTGAAAAAAACAGGGCTATTATTCACTCTCTATCCAGAATATTGCACCGATGGACAAAAAACTTTAGAAAACAGTTCGACTGGCCTTCAGCCATACTACAGCTATTTACTATCTCGAAGAGACCTGAATGATAAACTGATGTAAGACCTCCAACTCTTAGCGAGATTAGAAAGGCCATAAGTAATCTAGAGCGAAGGACAGTAGCAGCGGTTGATGAACCAAACTCTGAGATTTTTAAGGATGGTGGTCCAGTTTTTGAAGTTAGGTTGACTGAGATCTTAGTTAAACTCTTAGAACTGGACGTGATCCCATCTGATTGGTTTCGATCGCTGATCGTCCCAGGTTGTAAGAAAGTACAAAACTCCTCTTGTGGCAATCACAGATGAATCAATTTAACTATTTTAACTAAAATTTTATCTTCAATAAAACTTCGACGTCTAACTAAAGCTCGTGAGAAGCAAACTGAACGTGGACGTATAGACCAATTATTCACCCAGACTTGATCTTAACCTGTAGACCCCCAAGCCGGGACTCGTGTGCGAAGCCGAAGGTCCTGGGTTCGAATCCCGTGTGCGGAGTCGTGGATGTGAACTGATGAGGAGTCCTATACTAAAACGAAACGGACAGTCAGTGCTTCCAGGTTTTTAATGGTGGTCTAACATTGATCGGTTAATGATTTCAATGGATTTTAACAATCTCCACAACCCAAAACTGAAATTTTTAATAGAATGATTAGAAATGAACTCGTTCGTGAAAAAATCAATTTAATAGCATTTCTTAGATCTTTGAGATCGAGCGACTCCTCGAGAAACAGGTGGTCAATCATTTTAAACATGATAGTGTTCGAGGCTAAAATTGAGTGTGAAAATTATGCAGAGATCAAATTCAATATTTCCAAATAAATCTACGAAAAGGATGCCACCGAGATGTCCGTGTACATATCACAGGGTGAGTAAGTAACCTGCAGTCTTCCCTATTTAATTTGTGGTTGTGAAACACAGGCTTCAAAAGTAGGGGAAATGCATAAGTTGCCAGAATCTTTTTATAGATATCTTCAAAGTATTGCTCGCCAGAAGTGGAACCGCGGAGTAAATAATGACAAAGTAAGGGCGGCTGTGAGCAACTATGATGACAAAAAGATTGACGAGGCTATGAGTCATCGGCAGAGGTGGCTTGAACACGAGTAACATATGTCTTAGCCACATACTCTGATGCCCAAAGTTGACTGATTTAGGGTAGACTTCCTGATTAGAGTCTATCAGTGGTAGTATCGCACATGTATTCATTATTCCTCAAAACCTTCAGTTTTGATATTATGCTATACTTTCTATTCCTTAATTTTAATCGTTTTTCAAACTTCGTCCTTCATATTTAGTTTCGTACTAACTTTGATATTAACAATAACTTAAACGATTGGTTTGAATTTCTATCAGATAAGATTTTTCTTATAATTACTCCTGATTGACGAAAGTCTACATTTCATAAGCAAACCGTTAAACACGAAATAGTAAAAGTAACGTGCATACTAAATTGCACCCACGATGGAGTATCTTAAGATATACTTAAAATGATACGCAATATCTGTCTAGGGTAAAAAAAAATAGGATACCTTTTTCTTTGAGCTCATCGACCATCTGTTCCATATACTCCGTCAATCGTTGTTTATCAAGTTTGAGCTGGTCTCGATCTTCAACAACTTGCACATAATCTGTATACAACTGTGTTAAACTATGGCCACGCTTTAAAGCGCTCAGCGTAGCGGCCACAGATGGGTTAAGCTGGCGTAACTCTTCCTCAGATAGACCTAAAAAAGTAAAACATGTGTATTTATTATTAAATCGTATTCGCAAAACTGTAACCACAGAAAACACCACATAATCATCATAAATTTTCCCGACAACAAGGACGATTCATATAAAGAAAACGGACCTGAAACACCAAGCTTAGTCACAGTACATGGTAGCAAAGCTGCTTTCGAATATACGAAGAAAATGTTGACTTCTAAATTATGCGGAAAAAGACACAATTTAACACCGACCTCTTGCAGATCTAGATATGACGAAACCAACAGCTTAAAACGAAGGCTTGATTTGCATTTGCAGACGAAATTAAATTATACCTGGAATGTTTTTTAATTAACTTGCATGTCAATAAATAATGCCGAACCGAGGGTGTCACTTATAGTTTTGAAACAAACATTCTTTTACAGACAATCCACAACTTATTAACGTACAAGTGTAAGCAAACCCCTTAGAGACACCCCCGATATGCAAACTCCAAGCCCACACAAACTAATGTTGTTGATCAGAAAAAATAATAGCACAAAATGACTTGCTAATCTTTCAGTGCCAAAAATGTGCATAAGTGCATACTATAACTTGGGTTGAGCAAACACTTAAAATACCTGTGGTAGAATATAATAACTTGAAAACAAGCAATACAGCAAAAATTCACAATATCACTTTTGTATGAACTCAAAATCACTTGCCTGAGTACCTAGAAATAGCTTAGTCTCTATATATCTGAAGTGGGAATAAATGGTAAGCACTGACTCAATAGTATAGCAGTACCTAAACTTAATGTGATATGGTTAGAAATCAATCGTAATGGTGAAAGTATATTCACCTCCCTGCTTTATCTTTTAAGTTCTAATTAACTCATTTACCAGTTACTTGGGTATTAGCCACACTAAGTGTGAAGGTTAATGATACTACTCGGTTGTCCAAACTGGAGTAGGTGAAGCTGAATTCGAACCTGAAAATTACTGGCTAAAATTCGGATGTATTAACAGGTACATCAGATTTATCCAGATCTTGAAAATACCTTCGTATTAGCTTCAATATTACTTCGACGCCTAACTAAAGCTCGTGAAGAGCAGACTAGAGAAAATCAGGCTGGTTTTCGACCTGGACGTGGTTGCATAGATCAGATATTCACACTACGTCAGGTTCTAGAACACAGACACACATTCAGACGCCCCACAATCGTAGCATTTCTCGACCTTAAGGCGGCATTCGACTCTGTTGATCGTGAGGTTCTATGGCAGTGTTTGTCACTGAAAGGAGTACCAAAGAACTACATTAACCTTATAAAGGCTCTCTACTCGAACACAACTGGTCGAGTGAGAGCTTATGGCGAACTGTCATCAGAAATGATTACCTCAAGTGGTGTTCGTCAGGGCTGTCCACTCTCCCCATTCTTGTTTAACTTTGTCACTGACGTACTTTTAGAGATAACACTCTCCTCATCTAACTTTCCAGGGGTTGAACTTTTACCGGGAGGTTCACTTGTTGACTTAGAATATGCCGATGACATAGTTTTATTTGGTGAAGACGCTGAGAAAATGCAGAGTCTTCTGACCACTCTAAGCAACAATGCAAGCATGTTCGGGATGCGATTCTCTCCCTCGAAATGCAAAATGTTGCTTCAGGATTGGGTTACATCGACACCCGAACTAGTGATAGGGAGTGAAGTAATTGAGTGTGTCGACCGCTTCACTTATCTTGGAAGTCTCATCAGCCCTTGTGGTTTAGTGTGTGACGAAATCTCAGAACGGATACAGAAGGCTCGACTAGCTTTTGCCAACTTGCGTCATTTATGGCGTAGGCGAGATATCCGTCTATTAACCAAAGGACGTGTTTACTGCGCAGCAGTTCGTTCCGTCCTACTTTATGGCAGTGAAACATGGCCGGCAAGAGTAGAGGATATCCGTAGGCTACTAGTATTTGATTATAGGTGTCTTCGAAACATTGCTCGTATATCATGGGACCATCGAGTAAGTAACACAGTTGTTAGGAAACGGGTACTAGGTAAGGATGGCAAATCAATTGATGAAGTAGTGAAACTTCATCAGTTGAGATGGCTGGGACACGTGTTACGTATGCCCAACGACCGACTGCCTCGACGTGCTATGTTCAGTGGTATAGGAGTAGGTTGGAAGAAAGCTAGGGGCGGCCAAACCAAAACATGGCGCAAGTCCATGAAGTCACTGACAAGTGGACTGAGTCGTGTTGGTAGGTGTAGACTACCTGGTTGGGGACCGCGAGATGATAGCAACCGATGGTTAGAGACCCTGAATGACATGGCTCAAAATCGTTTGCAATGGCGCAGGTGCATCCACTCTCTGTGTTCTCCCAAATTCTAATCTTCTGAATTCTTCATGTCCCTTTTTTCCTCTTTCCAAATTTATTTCACTGGATTATACTCTTTAAATAACATCTCCAAACTCTAATCTTCCCGATTACTGCTTATACTCTTGCTACCTCTACCACTACGGGATTTGAATCGACAACAGTATCTCTGTGCTAATGTGGTGTGGCAACTCGAACTGATGTACGTACGTACGAAGTTCTACGTTGTTACTGACTGACTGACCTTCGTATATTTATGACCTCTATTAACCGATATTTTTGTTGCTTTTCTGAAATAACCCGTACCGTCTTCTGAAAGACTACATGTGGCGACCCACAGTCAGTCAGCTGCAACGTAGGACCAGGCACATATATGCATCGGTCCAAGTTGCACACTTCATAAATACAAGGTGAACACCAAATTCACAGAAGCAGTTACTTTAATGGTAGTGATATAGAAAAGAAAGATTGTGTATAAGGAAATCATACAGGAAGAAAGAATTAGTTCGTAGAAAGAAAGATATAAAATGATTTTAATCTCACGGTTTAAGGGCAGGCAAAGAGTGTATATACCTACGCCATTGTGATAAATTCTGAGCCATGTCACACAAAGTTTCCAACCATTGGTTACGATAGTCGCATAGGCCTCAACCAAGTAGTCTGCACCTACCAACATGGCTAAGACTATAAGTTAGTAACTTTATGGACTAATGCAACGTTTTGGTTTGGCCGGCCCCAACTTCCTTCCAACCATCCTCAACACAGGTCGGCATTGCGCGTGGTGGTAAATGATGTCCAGACATACGTAACTCATGGCCCAACCATCTCAGTCGATGAAGATTCATAACCTCATCAACTGATTTACCATCATTCCCTAATACCCTGCGTCTAATCTCACTATTACTTACCCGGTGATTCCAACAGGTTTGAGCAATATTTCTAAGACATCTGTGGTTAAATACTGGTAATTGACGTACATCCTCTACCCGTAATGGCTACGTTTTGCAGTCGTAAAGTGGGACAGAACGAACTGCTGCAGAGTATACTCGTCCTTTTATTGATAGAAGGATACCTCCCCTTCGTTATAGGTGACGTAAGTCGGTAAAAGCCAAACAACCTTTTTGAATCCGTACTGAGATTTCGTCAAACACCAACCCATTAGGGTCGACCAGAATTCCAAGATAAGTGAAATTGACGCGTTCGACTACTTCACTCTCTGTCCTCAGTTCAGGTGTTGACGTAGGCCAGTGCTAAAGCAACAATTCGCATTTAGAGGGGGAGAAACCTCTAACAGCACTCAAGATCACTGTATTCATAATCTATTTTCCTCTTCGATCCCCATTGTTCCTCCTACCTCGACTTTAAACTCTAAACTTCCTCTTTTGACTTCCTCCTCAAGTGTCACCTTGGCCAACGATTTGGTATCAGTTGTGATGTCATAACCAGTGGTTGGGAACTTTGGGTAACATGGTTCAAAATCGTTCGCGATAATGGAGGTCAATTAACTCTTTATCTTTCTTTAGAAGAAAAGTCCCAAAATCTCCATACACCTTTTTCTCTTTCTTTGCTTAGTGTTTCTTACTACTATTGATAGATACTGTTACTGCTTCTACTATACTAGGTTTTGTCTTGAAATAATTTTATCTCGCTGTACTAATATGGTATGGCAACTTGAAGCGGTTGCCATGTGTCAGGTTTTACTTTGATTATGGTGATGATAGTGTTGACCATTTCTGATAAGTGATGTGTTAAGTATCGTCAACTTCCTAATAGACATCCGAATTTATTTTCTGTAGAAATGTAATCAATTTTCGCAGTTTGAGTAGTAGTAGTTTATTTGTTGTTTCTAGCTCACAATTTGCATTTAGATGGGGAGAAACGCATCCCGAACATCCTGGCATTGTTGCTCAGTGCTACCGGAAGACTCTGCATTTTATTAGCGTCATCAAACAGGACTATTTTAAGTTAATATGTGGACATTTTGGTATAAGATCAATTCCTGAAAATCCAGACTACGAGAACGCTATTTCCAGCAGTAGGTTTATAATGAAATTAAATAGAAATGGAGATAGTGGACAGCCTTATCAGAAACCACTTGAGGTCGCAAAATCAGATGACTCGATTGGTAGTGTTCGAGTAGAAGGCCTTCACAAGGTTTATGTACTTCTGAGGTACACGTTTCAATGATAGACACCGCAACAGAACCTCTCAGTCTACAGAGTCAAATGCTGCTTTTAATGCAAGAAAAGCCATCACTGTCGAACGCCGATAAGCATGCCTGTGTTCTAGAACCTGACGAACGGTGAATATGTGGTCGATGCAGCCACGACCAAGTCGGAAGGCAGTCTGATTTTCTCGTGTTTGCACTTTGCGAGTCTTTGTTATGCCCCCGATAATTATTGACACTAGTATTTTAGACGCTCTATTAGTCAAACTAATCCCTCTATGGTTATCAGAGAATGATTTCGATCCTTTCTTATATATTGGGACAATCAGTGATTGCGACCAGTTAGATGGAATTACATTCGATCCCTAAATTTTAGCTAAAATATTGGTCGACCTAATCGCTAAAACTGGACCACTGTCCTTAAGGACCTCTGGAGTTAATCCATTTGGATCAGCTGCTCTTCATCGTTTCAGATTAGCCATAGCTTTCTGAACTTCAGTTAGAGTCGGAGGTCTACTTGAATGTTTAACTCAGGCTATTTGGAAATGGTGGGTAGCAGTAAAGTAGCTGAAGACCAGCTGGACCGCTCCCTAAAGTGTTCCACCCATCGTTCTAAACATCTCGATTAAGAGCAAATAAGTGTCGTCTTTTTCAGCGATTGTCTCACATTTGACGTCTTAATTCCGGCTCCTTTTGTTGGTCTGAAAAGCTGTCTTGTGTTACCTACAGCCACTGCCTTTTCCACCTCTTGCTTTCGTACCCACCACTGCTTACGATCGTTCCGTGGTCTTTTGGTTAACCTAGATGCAACTTTTTTTCGCTTGTCATCGTGTTCGGAGCCTGATGGGATAAGTTTACGAGAATCTACCAGTGCAAAAGATGTGGCGGAAATCCACTGGTTTTCCGTAATCCTTTGGTTTAAATTACAAATAGATGTCACTGCTGTTTCCACGGCTGTTCGTTTATTTTTTCAAGCAACATCTGGGTCATCTTCGTTTTCAAAATTGCCTAGGTGTGATTTCATTTGTTTATGGAATTTACCTTCGGCTTTCTCGTCGTTGAGTTTAACTCTAATGGGCATTTTTAATGTGGCTTTTCTGTGTTTAGTCAAGTGCAAGCAAATACGTGCTCCTATTAGAGCACTATCAGAGTCCAAACATGTATTTCAGAACGAGTGGCAATCTATCGAGCCAAAAACTTTTCGAGACCGTTTGAAGATGTATTTTATTTTAATGGACCCCAATACATGACAATAAATAAATTGAGAAACACTGTAACCTGTACTATCTCCCATTACTGCAATTAGTACTAATAAGTATATGGGATCTTTGAGTCAACCTACGTCGTGTAAACTGACAGTTCTAAGGATTCAGGTTTTTTAAAAGAACTGACGAACAAATGAGATACTGATAAGGTTAGGAGTCGTAAAAACGAGACTTAATGATAACAGACCAATGAAATAGTATGCTTAAGATAGCTAGTAAAATATGAGCAAGCATAAGCAACGCGATAAAAGATACTCATCTGCCACACGCTACCCGAATACATGTGAAGAGGCAGATAAAAGGATGAAAGGACAGTAACAAATACGACCCTAAGTAGTGTTTTGGCCATCAATTATAACAATATTGACTGCATTTAGGTTTACCATCCACTCTGAACTTATCCAGAAGATGTTGACTTCTTTCCATCTCAGAAGCGAGATTTTCAGTAGCTATCTGTAGTTTGGAATTTGCTTCGCTGCATTTCGCTTGTAAAGAGGAATTTTCATTCTCCAACCTTGACACATCTACATGGAAATACAAGTGAGGTAATTAAATCTACTCTCATAAGCTTCCTTTAAGAGGCCCTGGATGGATGAAGCAGCATTACTAAGCTCCTCATTTTTTTCTTCCAGCTCTTTTACTTGTTCCTTAATTTTTGGAATAAGCTAAAGACAAATCATTACCTTGTACAGTTTTATAAGTTGCTTCTGTGCCTCAATTTCATTTCCGTACAACTGCTCCATTTTTATTTGTTCATCCGTAACCTGAAAAATCAAGAGATAAGTATAACTTACTAGTTTAAGTTTGACGATGTACTCGTCATTTGTCTGAGTAAGCTTCTGTACATTTGTTTCTAGTCTTTCAACGCACTGTTTGGAGTTCTCAAGCTGAAACATTATAACAGGAATTAAAAACATACTTCAACGTTACGAAGACCAAGTTCAGCTTCAAGAGAGTAAGACTTTTGGTACTGCAAAAATGTAGATTAAATCTGGACCTTACCGAGTCTCTCCTAACTGTCAGTAACTGGTCAGTTGTCTGTTGGAGACGTTCCTCTAGCCAGTCATTGTGTCGCTGTAAGTTAGATAGTTCGTCTGACCAACGAGCTTCTTGAGCCTAAATATGAAGTGATTGGGAGTTGAAATACATACTTTTATCGACGACTCACGCCCGATAATATCTTCCGACTTCAACATCATTTCTATTTTTAGTTTCCGAACATTTTCGGCTTCTGTACGTAGCTCGCTAATTTCAGAGGTTAGAGAGTCAATCAACCCGAGCTTATTCTTTAGTTGATCTGACAAAATTTCTTTCTCATTTTCTAATCCACGGATAGCGAGGTTAAGCTCATTATTAACGGACAAACAGTCGTTTAATTTTGTACGGAAATCCTCCTTCTCCACATTAACATTATGAAGCTTTTCTTCGATAGCGTAAAGTGCATCGTTGCATTCTCTCAACTTCTTCTCTAACTCTTCAGATGCTGACTTTAGTTTATACTGCTCTTCAGAATAATGCAACGCACTATTTTCTAAAAGGAATAAAAAAGAACACACATATACCTTGAGCTTTCTGAAGTTTCGCAAGTTCCTCTTTCGCCACTTCAGCATCGTGATAGATGTTATCAAATGCAATATTAAGTTTAGTAACTAGTTCAGGGCTGACTAATCCTATTTCTTCCTCAGTAACCCCACCATAATTGCACAGACTTTCAAACTCCATCATCCAACAAAACACAAATGTACCGCGTAACCTCAAGGCTAGAAGCTAGTCTACAGTGATAAGGATAGTAGGTCGTTTGACCTGTGTTAATCCATACAGCCTGTTTTATAGTGTGGATTCGAATCCGCCTTGAAACTTTTCACTGGTTGTACTGATAATGTCTGCTCGGGAAGGGCGTTCCAAATGATTTGTATTGTTCTGTACGAAATAGAAGCTTTCGCTTAACTGGCTTTCGTTTCAAATAGCAGGGAATACCGATGTCTCCAGGCAGTAACCTAGGTATAGTTAACGAAAAAAGAGAAAATTATTGCATTATAGTGAGACGTTGTCCTCAGTTCTTAAGAGGGACTCCTGGGAAGTCTCTTGGACTAGCTCAGCCGGCAGCGACATCCAACATTTGACCACTCTCAGTGAGTAGGTGTGCCTACGATCCGCTCTAATATATTGTATTTGCAGTTTTTGGGTGTCAGGTCTAAGGTTTTTGTTCGGACCAAACTTAAATAGGTGTTAAAGGGGATACCCAAGAGTGTTTAGCGTGTTGTAAGTCGTTTGAAGGTCACTTCTAAGCCGACTGAAGATTCAGTGATTTGAAGCGCTCTTATTAAGGCTTTAACTTGAGTTCCTGAATTGATTCAGTGGCTCGCTGATAGATACGTTCTAATGTATCCTTCTCTTTATGGAGTGGGGGAGGAAATACGATATTTCCATACTCTAAATGGATTCGAATAAAACTGTCGAAGATAAACACAACTTTCTGCTTTCAAAATGGTCAAAAATGCGCTCTAATGTTGCCAGTGCAAGGTTTGCTCGAAATGCATTTTAGTCGCATTTAGCGTGGGGTGAGATTAGTATGGCATTTGGCAAGGGTTTGTACGCGCAGCCGTGGAACGCTCCACATTCTGCACACTCCATTCTCACCTCCAAAATCCACACCCGACCAAAACTGCTACCTTGACACGGTGGTCGGGCTTGCTTATCGTGATGACCCGACCGAGCTATATTGTATGGAACATATGTTCCTGTGGGTTCTACCATGCCCGGCAGGTCGATTGGTGAACGGTAAGACTAAAAGCAGCAACTCAAGGTCTGAGGGCGAAGTCGTACTGCTGACTGTAGAGGGGTGTGACAGCACTAAGGTGTTTCCGTCGTACATCCAGCATGACAGCGATGTTGCCTTCCCACAAGGAGGGGTGGGGTTAGAAAAGGTCGACCCTAAAAATGTCACACTTCACCTTACCTCACGGATTTCCGTCTCCGGCGGTAAGGCCCTTTGAAGAACGGAGCTAACACGTCAAAAACCTCCCCAAAAGGCCGTGCGCAACCGGCCTCAAGCAGTTGTCCCTTGGGCTCTGCGGCCACGCTCCCAGGTCGTTAAGATCAACACTAATCCAATTTCCTTTTCAGGTTCCTCAATAAATACATTTCTACGGTGTGGGCAGCCGGGAAGTGACCCCAGCCCTCATACCCGTAACAGCACACGAGACCGAGGTGGTCACATTCAGATCTTTCCTACACCTCCTAAAACCTCTCTTATCCTCCCGACTAACCCTCCCCACGTCTCTTTATCACCTCGCACCGCTAGGGCAAACGATTCGAGTACGTGGAACGCCATTCCTGGTCTCCTGAAACCACGCTCTAAACTACACGTAGGAGCTTTTAACGTACGAACACTTTGCCAAATAGGACAGCTGGCTTCCTTAGCTAGGACATAAGAATCTTGCGCCATCGATGTGTGCTGCGTCTCCGAAACGCGCATACAGGATCCGAGTAGCGTCATATTATTCATTGTCAATCCAGGAGATTGGATCGATGGGCAGAACACTTTAGGGATCAGTTCAACTGACCTGCAGCCACACTTCGGTTTCCCACGATCTCTAGTCAATCTGAATGGCAAGTTAATGTAGGTCCTCCGTCCCTTTACGAAGTTGAAAAAGCCATAGGAAATCTGAAACGAGGGAGAGCATCAGGCCCTGACAGGTTTACCCCAGAGATTTTTAAGGATGGCTGTCCAGTATTAGCAGCAAGACTGGCCGAGGTCTTAGGTAGAATTTGGGAACTGGACGTAATTCCATTTGACTGGTCCCAATCACTGATTGTGCCAGTCTATAAGAAAGGACAAAAGTTTTCTTGTGACAATCACAGGGGAATCAGTTTGACTAATATAGTGTATAAAATATTAGCTTCAATAATACTTCGACGCTTAACTAAAGCTCGTGAAGAGCAGACTAGAGAAAATCAGGCTGGTTTTCGACCTGGACGTGGTTGCATAGATCAGATATTCACACTACGTCAGGTTCTAGAACACAGACACACATTCAGACGCCCCACAATCGTAGCATTTCTCGACCTTAAGGCGGCATTCGACTCTGTTGATCGTGAGGTTCTATGGCAGTGTTTGTCACTGAAAGGAGTACCAAAGAACTACATTAACCTTATAAAGGCTCTCTACTCGAACACAACTGGTCGAGTGAGAGCTTATGGCGAACTGTCATCAGAAATGATTACCTCAAGTGGTGTTCGTCAGGGCTGTCCACTCTCCCCATTCTTGTTTAACTTTGTCACTGACGTACTTTTAGAGATAACAATTTACTCGTCTAGATTTCCAGGGGTTGAACTTCTACCAAGAGATTCACTTGTTGACCTGGAATATGCCGATGACATAGTTTTATTTGGTGAAGACTCTGAGAAAATGCAGAGTCTTCTGACCACTCTAAGCAACAATGCAAGCATGTTCGGGATGCGATTCTCTCCCTCGAAATGCAAAATGTTGCTTCAGGATTGGGTTACATCGACACCCGAACTAGTGATAGGGAGTGAAGTAATTGAGCGTGTCGATCGCTTCACTTATCTTGGAAGTCTCATCAGCCCTTGTGGTTTAGTGTGTGACGAAATCTCAGAACGGATACAGAAGGCTCGACTAGCTTTTGCCAACTTGCGTCATTTATGGCGTAGGCGAGATATCCGTCTATTAACCAAAGGACGTGTTTACTGCGCAGCAGTTCGTTCCGTCCTACTTTATGGCAGTGAAACATGGCCGGCAAGAGTAGAGGATATCCGTAGGCTACTAGTATTTGATTATAGGTGTCTTCGAAACATTGCTCGTATATCATGGGACCATCGAGTAAGTAACACAGTTGTTAGGAAACGGGTACTAGGTAAGGATGGCAAATCAATTGATGAAGTAGTGAAACTTCATCAGTTGAGATGGCTGGGACACGTGTTACGTATGCCCAACGACCGACTGCCTCGACGTGCTATGTTCAGTGGTATAGGAGTGGGTTGGAAGAAAGCTAGGGGCGGCCAAACCAAAACATGGCGCAAGTCCATGAAGTCACTGACAAGTGGACTGAGTCGTGTTGGTAGGTGTAGACTACCTGGTTGGGGACCGCGAGATGATAGCAACCGATGGTTAGAGACCCTGAATGACATGGCTCAAAATCGTTTGCAATGGCGCAGGTGCATCCACTCTCTGTGTTCTCCCAAATTCTAATCTTCTGAATTCTTCATGTCCCTTTTTCCTCTTTCCAAATTTATTTCACTGGATTATACTCTTTAAATAACATCTCCAAACTCTAATCTTCCCGATTACTGCTTATACTCTTGCTACCTCTACCACTACGGGATTTGAATCGACAACAGTATCTCTGTGCTAATGTGGTGTGGCAACTCGAACTGATGTACGTACGTACGAAGTTCTACGTTGTTACTGACTAGCTGACGCAGTTAGCGTAAGACTTCTGGCCATAGGCTACCAACACTTATACCCCTTACAACTTGGGATAACTTTAAAGGAAAGTCGCTTAAATTGTATGCATACTCCGCAACTTGTCTCAGATGGATAACTTTACGCTTTGAAATGTTAAAAATAAGTCCAGTGTTGTCTGCCCAACTTTTTAGTTGAGTCAGATTCCCCTGAAACGATGATATTCTGTTTGCTTAATGGATCAGTTATCTATATTATTCTTTCTGTAGGAAGCAATTTCCCACAGATTCAACTCTCAGCTAATCTCTAGACTGTCGAGTACAGAGTCTTGGTTTGGCCAAAGTCAGAACAAGCAAGCTATTCGGCTAGATAAACTTTATCTGTTTCTAAAATATAAATCAACATCGTTAGTGTACAAACAAACAGTACGGTCTATTAATACAGGGAAAAACAGAGACAAATAACATACCGAACAGTAGCCAGAGAATAGGAAAAATGAGTCAACAACCCAATATTGTTTTACAATGAACATTAAACTGTGATTGGTTAATAAAGAGATACAGTCGTACAAGGTCAAAAGGAGTTGATGTGGTGGTGGGCGTTTCCCTTATTATTGGTGGGTTCGTCTATCAATCACATTTTACACTCCCCCCGAAACGCGCACCACGTCCGTTGTCCAGGGTCGTCGTCGCCGTCAGACAGCCGGCTCCTTCTAGTAGACATAAGCGTCGTACGTCCCCAGCAGTTTCTTCGTTTGTGGTTCTCAATTTTGCCGTACGAACTTGTCCGTCAAAGCCATAGCTTACTTGTTCGACAATAGCTTTGGACCATAGACTTCTCAGTGAGCCAACATTGTTTAATAACACTAAGTCTCTCGAAGACTCATCCATCAATACTTTCTGAAACAATAGTGATCGCAGAATTCTTCTTATCGACTTTATGATGCGTCCCCATACACCGTCTCGTTGACTAGACCTCGGAAGTTTAAAGCGCCATTCACAACCTCTCTCTAAAAGGGCATTTACTGTCTTCTGATTCCAACTACACATGATCTGTCTAAGAATAGCATTGGATCCTATAGAACTACCAGATGCACCCTTACTCTTGTTCACAACTCGTACAAGGGCGCCTTTCTCAACACCATCCTCGATACCACGGCGAATATGTGCTACCTGCTTCTTCAGGGTCTTAGTTACTGGCTTCTTCGTTACAGTGGTCTTCGGCTTTTTCGTAGTCTTCACTTTCAGTTTGATGTCCTTCTTTTCCTTAAGCTTTCTTAGAGTTGATTTGGATTTATTAGCAGATGATGCTTCAGTTTTTGGCTTAACAACCTTATACTTAGTTAATAAAAACG